GGAACAATGAACAAAAGATCTCTTCATAGAGTATGGGTGGGGCAAGAGATTGGAGGGGGCATTGAGAGTCCATAATAAGCAATAAGGAAGGAAAAACATGTTTCAGATGAAGTGAAAAAGTTAATACACCCCATTTACCATCTGTACTTTCTCCCTATCTTTGACTTATCAGAGCTTAAAGACCTAATGTCCTCCTCCACCCAGTCCTTCTCCAGAACCCTTGATCTAGCCCCTTGATCTAGTCCATTGTGCCACATTTTGTTCAAACCTCTGTTTGTTGAGCTGTCTTATCTTTCCCAACTAGACTTCAAGGCTTTGTGAGGTCGAGATCAAATGTATTTCCTAATCATGCTGTATTTGTGACCTCTGGCACATGATCTGCTTTTGCTCACCATTGTACCACTAAGACACAGCACATAACATATGTAATAAATGCCAATTCGCTGGGTGAATCTGTTGAAGGAGTGAAGAAACCTAATGTTAGGTTAGCTTCCAACTCTTATTGTACACCTCAAAGTTTAGCAGGAGCAACTAAAATGAAGGGAAGACAATGTTCTACAAGGTCATTAGAATGTCATCTGTGGAACTGTTTTCTGTTGCTTGAATCTAGTAGCTCTTACCCAAGGATCATTTTTCAAGATTATTATTGCAACTTAGAATTCACTATGCTAAAGTGCTATTTAAAAAGTGAACAGGGCCAGGCATGGTGGCACACGTCTCTAATCCCAGCACTTAGGAGGCAGAGGTAGGCGGATCTCTGTGAGTTCAAGACCAGCCTGGTCTACATAGTGAGTTCCAGGATAGCTGGGGCTACAGGGAGACCCTGTCTCAAAAAGACCAAAAGAAAAAAAAAAAAAAGTGAACAGGTAGGCTCTATGGTATGGATCAAGAAGTTAGTGCAGAGACACAGAAAGATCTTCTATTCTCCAGAACCAGAGAGCTTGAGTCCACTGAGAACTGGCCCAGTGAATTACACAGAGAAAAATACAGCACTGAAACAACTGACTAAATGACCTGAGGAACAACATAGATGAACTAGAAGTTCAATTTTTGAAAGTACTCTCTAACCTCAATGGTTTTGAACCATCTGTCCTAGGGCTCTAACTAGTCCGGTTCTTTATATAATGCCTTAGTTAGCAAGTCTAAGAAAGATGCGGCCGGTGGGGGGGGGGGTACACCCTTGCCACTTCAGTAATAAAGAGCTTCTTAAGGTGATGTGGGGTCATCTGACCATAGCGATTATTGAACAAGCCAGACGCAAACCCATGAGACTGACTGCCTTAAACACTGAGGAGGAAATGCCTCCTATTGCTGCCAAAGTGTGTGTAGTAAATTCATTCTAAAGTTCTTCTGGGCATTAGGGCTCAGATTTAGATTTTATTGCGGCACATCTAAAAATGCTTCTTCTTGAGCCTAGTCAATTTGCAGCTCCGTGTGCTCTTC